CAGCTGGTCATTTGTGTTCTTCCTGCAAGAAATCCTGTGCGTCGCCTGTTTCGTGGTAATGCTACTGACCCGAAACCGAGCCTCGAAGATTGGATATAAGGAGGATTAAGCAACGACGATATACTGAGCTAAATCTATCTCTACGCTGTCGTTACTGTTTCCGAGAAGGCCGATCGATCAGATATTTTCAGGACTAATCTAGTTGAATGAACCAGCCGCTACTTACTTGCAGAACGTAAAAACCGACCAATCGACCGCTGAAATTTAACAGCTTACTTTAGAATGCCTAGTGCATACAAAAATATTTTTGAAAGAAATCTGGAATCTGAATGATTTTTGATCCTTGATTTTGAATCTTTGAATTGTTGAATCTTTCATTTTTGAAGAGTATACCGAAAAATCCTGTTGTCAGGAATAGATATTCGGAAAAATGTGCACTGATTAAGTAACAGATCAATGACGACATAGTGACATTGAAATAACCTATAATTGTGCAAAACTTTGATCAAAACAGTAGTCAAACCTAGTGTACCTAGACCCAAAGGAAAACAGTCGCGTGATGCATAAGTGTTTAGTGTCTGCTTCACATCCGCCTGCCATTCAGTAAGGCGATGATTCAAGTGGGTGACCAGATGCTATTCAAACACTGAATGGTCAGCAGTCACTGTGTCACTCAGTCCCGCGGAACATGAAAGAAAGCGCCGGATGCTAACTGTTGTACGGCGATTGAGCTGCAGGTCGAGCATTCGGGAAGCTCACGGAAAGCCTAAATGGTGCCACTGAAAAAGAAGCGAAACGCATGTGGTGCAAAATACGTTGCAAGCATTAAGCACTCGCAAATCAGAACTTCCATGTACGATGTACAAAAGATGCCGCTCGGCATAGTGTACCTGTGGTTGGCTCTACTGCATATTTATTTAATAGCGAAGTACTTTCGCTATGTTATAATTCTGTCATTAGATTGTTATTCAACGAACCGTTAAAGTGGTCAAATCGCTGTACCCAGTAGGGCTGCCCTCACGCTGCCTTAAATACTTAATCAGATTCCTTCCTTATTTCGCAGATAACGTAGATGTCTGAAAATTATTCTGCTTGCGCCGTTCGCAACTTTATCTTGGTAACAAATATTCGATTCAGTTTATCTAGTCTTAGCAAAATCCGGACTATACAAACATCCATGCATCATCATCATCTTCCATCGCCGCTTCTCCTTTCGGGTCGCGGAGGCAGACGCGTCAGACAGTGCTTCC